GCGACTCCAGGCTCATATTGTTGACGTGGACATACCGTACGGGAGCCGGAACCATGACACTCCGCAGTGCCATACCTAATCAGGGATCGCATGTGGGGAAATCCAAGTACCCAAGCAAGAACATTGAGGGGGTAAACATCAAACATGACCCGAAAGTTCACTCTGCCCCAGCACAGAGTCCCCTGGCCACCTCATTAAGACAGAACTTCAGGGATTGAGTCCAGGCATATTCCTTCCATCACACAGACAAGGTCGCCAAGTCGAGGGGTCTAGCCTGGTAAGGCGCCCAGTCCGGTGCGTAGCTGATTAAACCGCGGCCATCACGGTCAGCCTCGCGCATGCGCCCTAATTGCTTTTGTATATTTTAACTGTTTTGCTTTAAAAGGAAGTGATGTCTGTGTTGTTAAATAATTAAATAACCACAAAAGTGCTTTATTTTCTTATGTTTATCTGTGATTCATTTTTATCCTCTTTTGGCCTTTGGCTTTGCTTTGTACGCCCCAAAAAACATCAGTGAAGTACACATTGTGTGCATAGCATGCCCTGTCTCTCCTTCACCCTCACTGCTCCCCCGTATCTCTTATTGGCACTCTCGGCTGTCAAAATACTGCAGCCTCTACTGTTTCAAACAGAGCTTCAGAAGAGTGTTTGTAAACTCTGTACTAACTCCTTCCCCTTAGATATTATTTTACTGCTGATTTCTTTTTTAATATTTCAATTTTTTTTCTTTCATATTTTTTTATTTGTTTTGTTCCCTAATTTTTTTGGACACATTAAAACAAGTGCAAAACAACTTTCATTTAATTTGTATATAACACAAATTCTAATATTAGTGTCATTATAATTTGGACAAATTATATAATTAAATGTATACTTTAGCAAAAAAAAGCATTTTTTTTAGTTTTTGTAATTTGTTTGTCTTAAGATAACATAGAAAATAAAATTATTTTTTGAAGACTGTATCACTAAAGAAATACTTAATTGTCCAAAAAAATTATGCATGCATTAGTTTATTATTATGTAATGGAAAAGTTGTTGCAAAATCAATAGGCCCATAGCAAATATTTTGAAATTGAATTGGCCAGTAATGGGTATACAAGTGCAAGAGCTGAAGTGGTTAAAAATTATTGTGCAAGCACTTTAATTCCAGACAGAATAAGATTGAGTGGACTCCGCCTTTCACTAAAAGTTGAAATTTGCATAAAGGAAAGAGAGGGCTCACCTCAGGCTTTGCAGCTCATTTTAATACAGCTGATTACAACTGTTGTAAGGCCTGGTTCACACCTGGGCGTTTTACAGCGCGTTCCTACGCTCTGTAAAACGCTCAACATGTAAAAACCAATGATTGCCTATAGGCATGGTTCCCACCTGGGCGTTTTACAGCACGTAGGAACGCGCTGCAAAACCGCCGACGCCCAAAGAAGTACAGGTGCTTCTTTGTGGCATATTTTTTTTACGACAAACTCGCATATTCGATACGTCTAGGTGTGAACCCAGCCTAAACTCTCAGCACACACTATACAGTATATGTGATATTACCTTACCACCTTTGGTTTGTGAAATGTGCACTTTATTAGTAGGCTTCATTCAACATCTCAAATAAATGTAGGTGACAGATGTCATACGCTGGTATTGATGTTTTCAGTAGAAGGAAAAGATTAAAACAGGAAGATCTTATTAATGTATTTATTTTACTGATTTTTCTACTATTTTAGCATCTTCACACTTATCTAACAAAAGAGCAGCCAATGTAACTAGCCTGTTATGCATCTTATCTCTGCTGGCTTTATGCCTTGAAAGCGCATGCAGGTTGCCATAGCAGTGTTGTACTCCCTTGGTTTAGTTTTATATTAATAGTAAGGTGATGTCAAGCTTTGTTTTTATGTAAAAGATTTTTGTTGGAATTCTCTTTTTAAATAATTGCTGTTAGACTGAAAATACATATAACCTTATGATCTACGTGGTTAAAATTATTAAACCTTTTCTTCTAAATTAAAACTTTCATGCAGTTCTAAACTTCATCTTTGATGTCTCAGTTTCATCTGTTGCAAATGGAGTAATGTTGCCCAATTCAATAACTAACCCAGCATTATATTAAGCCATGATGTTTTTTCTTTATCAGGTAGTGGATAATCTTATGGGTAATGCTGTACAACCTTTGCTCAATTCTGTAAACGACTCAGTGGAGGCCATTATTATCACCATGCATCAAGAAGATTTCTCAGGGTGAGCATATATTGTTTTGAATTAACCACAAATGTTAATTTTATATTCATAAAATGATGTATCATTCATATAGGCACCTTTCTTTAGAAATGATAGCCTCTGCTTGTTCTTCAAAATATAAAGACTGGTATTCACACTTGAAATCCATTTTGAAACTTAGATCCCATAAACATGGACCATGTTGAGTTTCCACTTGAATATGAATATAAGCATTTGTATAGATGCCAAAGCTATACCTCCAGGTTTACAGCTGATCCCATAATTACAAGTGATATTAGTAATTGAAGTATTAATGCTTTTCTTTAGAAAAAAAACAACAGCTCTGCTGAATTAAAAAGACCTCCCATTGTTTCATGTACCTAAGAGCAAATAGAGGGACTGCTATTGATGACCTCTTTATGAAAATGCGTGCTGTCTGTCTGTCATACTTGACCTTGTGACTTTACAACTTTCTGAGACACCAACCGAAAATATGCAGGCAGCAAGTGAAATCAGAATGATTTCACAGTTACCTGTTTACGGAGGTTACTCTGTGGCCCTTACCAACCAATAAATCCTAATAATTAGGGATGTTCAGATACCAGTTCAGATACCAGTGCCAATACTCGCCATTTTCACGAGAACTACCAGGGTTGCAACGGTTGCATCCGAGACCTGGCTCTAGTGCTCCACACTGTCCTGAAATCATTAGTCTGTATTGTTTTAGTCTAGTCTTGTTTTAGTCTAGTCTTGGAGCTGGAAAAGTGTCTGTACTTGTACTTGTACCGAGTACTGTACTTGGTATCTGAACATCCATACTAATAATGATTTAAATTATGGATGTAATATATGAGAAGTGTGCCTGCACTGACTACCAGAGTCTAATCCCTCTCGTGCAGCAAAGTATACGTCACCTTGGCAGGTCCACATTTATTTTTGGTTAAACATTAGTCATGTACATAGACAAATCGGGACTGATATTTTATTATTTGGATATTGTGGATCGAGCACAGTACTGTATGTTTTTTACTGACATGCACACACACACAGACATTTGAATAGTATTGACACATTCTGTTAATGTTTAATAAACATAGTAAAGGGGAGAATATTTGTCTAACAGTTGGAGGTTTTAATGGCTTTATATAGAAACCCTTTTTTTACAGGTGTGTTCATCTTTATAGTTATTACGAATTATGTATTATTTGGTAATAATAAAGTGCTTGGTGGTAACTAGCTACAAAAATCAGGGTGGATTTGATTTATACTTGGGCAGCTCTAGGCTATGTGGGGGCTTTGGTGGACTTACTAGTAGTGTATTTGAAAGCAGTGGTGTAATTTGGTTTTGTGCTGCCCTAGGCAAGACTAAACCCGAGCGCCCTCCCATCCCTAATCTAAATTAGAGCCACCCCTTACTGTTTATTACATATTACATTTTTAATTACCTGTCAGTCGCAGGATACATTGCGCACGGTTCTGACAGGTTGCGCTATCAACGTAGCGGGACGCTCTAGTTCTACCTTTGCAATAGCCACCTTCTCCTTTTCTGGCTTGATGGGCTCCCTTGTTCTGCAACTACAATAACCATTCTCTCCTGCCCTGCCATGCTGTGCTAGTCTCTAGTTCTGCAGCTGCAACACCGATCTTCTGCCTTCATATGCTGGGCTGTCTATTTCTGCAGTTACCCATCTTCTGCCTTGGCCGCTGGGCTCTGTAGCTTACCCCGCTCTAGATACATAACCCTGCACAGAGCTTATAGGCTGCACTTCCCCGGACTCACCACCAGGGAGGTGCCGATGAGCACGATGACCATCTGGATCTCAGCCCTGGGGTCTTGTGGAAGCTCCTCCGCTGCCTGAAGTAAGAGATTTGGGTGCTGGTTTCCCAGGGAGGTCCGGCGCACGAACTGCCAATGCAACCGGACAAAAGTCACACACCAATACATTGCCCAGCACGGTGACCAGGAAGAGGAAGGAGCTGCAGCCGCCATATATGTAGGAGTAGGCAGCATTAGTGGACAAGTTGGTCTTCCAGTCAAAGAAGCACAAGGTCCAGGAGTACTGGCAGTAATTTATGAATAATTTATAATATCATTTTTTTTCTCTTACCTAACTGGTTTGGGGGGACAGCATTTTTGGCGCCCCCCTGGAAAGTGCCGCCCTAGGCAAATGCCTAGTTTGCCTTGCAGTAGATACACCCCTGTTTGAAAGTCAGAATGAAGTCCTTTTCTTCTGATTTGCATTCTTGTTTAAAGAGGACCTTTACCCATAGCTTTAAAATAACAACAAACACACCTTTAGAAATGTTTAGTAATGACAATCTACAAACAGATACTTTTAGATAATTGCCGGCGTTGTATTCTTTGCACACCTTATTTCTCTTTTCTTCCCCAGTCTTCTGACAGTGGCCATGTTTAGTAAGCTCCCCATTACTAGCTCCCCATTTACTTCCTGAAACTCTGGCACATGTGACTATGCACATCATCTCAGGGGAGGAAAATATATTTCTCTGAGATCTCATAAGATTACAGATAAGATTTTTCCAGCAATACACTGCTGATGTAACCTTCCCAGGATGCAATGCTTTTGGCACTTACATCATCATTTCAATTACAAGGCAATCTCAGTGTGCATTGCGTTGGCAAACTAAAGTATAGAGGTCTTGGACCTGGCTGTGCTGTCTGGCAGGGGTGTTTAGACAGCTAAACCGGCTGGGCAAAATTATAAATCCTTTGGCAGGTAAGACAGCTCACATGTATCTGTTTTAAATTGTGTTTTTGTGTATTTATGTGTTTTAATGTGTAATTTACTCTTTGCTGTGAGTTCAGAGTTAACAAAAATTTTCAAAGGTGGATTATTTTGTTTTGTTTCTCTTTAGGAACTTGCTAAATTCAGGAAAGCCAGATATTCCCTGCTCCTTGTACATGAAGGAATTGCAGGGATTTATTACAAGAGTAATGAGTGACTATTTCCGTCATTTTGAATGCTTTGATTTTGTATACGACAATACTGAACAAATTGCTCAAAGAGCAATAGAGCTTTTCATACGCAATGCTAGCTTGCTGCGGGCACTGGGTGAAGGAGGGAAGATGAGGCTGGCTGCTGACTTTGCCCAGGTAAGAAAGTGTGTTAAAGATGACCCCCTAAGTAGAATGTTTCAAAGATTGTCTCAAGCTCAAAGCTTAAATGAATCCGGTCCATTATAAAATACAATGTAAAATGTTGAGGAAAAAGAAAGAATAGATCATGACTTTCTGAGAATTTGCTTTATGGTTCTCAAAGAAAATAACAGTTAACCACCTATTGGTAATAAATAATGGTACACAACACAGATATCCTCTTCATCCTCTACTGTGTCATGACTCATGCAAACAAAAAAAATAAAGATGAACCCTGGTTTTTATTTGTTGTAATGTCACAATTTGCTGTGGGGTTAAAGAAAACAAGTTAGGCTAATTTAGGGAGTGCATTACTTCTGCTGATTCGAAATGTGTTTGCTTTAAGTCAAAAGATTTTTAGGCTATTTCATATCCTGATTAAATCACCTACAGTGGATGCTAATCCTTGATGTTTAAAAGTTTCAATTTTCTGCAGAATCATCTGGTCTCCTGAGCACTGATCCTGATATTCCTGTGATCTTGTAGTTGACAAGAAGTTAAGGGAGGCTGAGCCGAGAGAGTTGGATTCAGCCGTTTGGAAACATGATGATTGCAATTGCTTGGAAAAAAATCTAAGGAAATACTTTGCTGGGCAGTCAGTATTCATTTGATCTGGATTCATTATTGAACAAAGTTTGAGAGTTTAATTTCAAAAACATATATACATTGAGTTGGAAAATATGCCAGGACATTTTGAGTCCATGCCAGTAGCCTTGCATTCATGCATGCAATATACACTGTGTAATATACAGGACAGTCTGCGTCAGATAAAAAAAGTAGTGTCATTTATATATGCAGATTTTTATTTGGTACACCCTTGATCCTGGGAATACACCCAAAAATGCAAGGCATATATTGACTGTCAAATTGCAAAAGTGGAAGTATAAATAACTGAATATTTCTTTGTGCACCAGAAAGTGATCTTTTGAGCCTTAATGGAAACATGTACTTTGAAGTTGGAATACACCTTTGCACAGAATTGAGGATCAGCTTACTGTGGATTGCAACTAGAAATACAGTAGCTATTTCTTCACAATATATTTTTTTTTTTATTTTTTTGACAGACTTCTGCACAAATTGTTTTGTAATAAAAAAATTAATTTCAAGCATCTGCTTTTCTAGTGTAGGTTTGCATGTAAGGGCTTGGCCACACCTAGGGATAAGTAATAGAAAATGTTGTCAGGGGAAAGCGTGTGTCTTGTACTTTTTTTTTATTAAATAATTAATTGATTTATTTGTAAAAAACAATATATGTATATTACTACTTTTGGAAGACTCAAAGCCGTGCCCATTTCCCCTTTTTTCTTGGTTTAAAATAGAGAAATAGGAGAGAGCACTGTAGTGTAGTATTTTTGTCTCAAAATAGCAAAAGCTTCTATAAGGAAAACGGAAAAGTATCTGTACTAGTGTGTACGGCCGTTAGAAACCAATGCTGTTTGGCAACCAATATTATTGCATGTGGAGAATATCCGTCTCCCTGCAGACATATTTGAAGGATCACTCTCTAGGTGTAGTGATGACTTCAGACCTCATCGGTACTCCAGTTGTAGCAGTTTTTTATATGAAAAGGAACTTTATTTTGTAAACATAAAGCAACTTTATTGCAGAAGAGACTTGATGCACCATACCAGATGAAGTAGACTGAACGGCTGCGAAATGCATTGAAGGTTTTTTCCTTTCAATATCAAAGACATCACACCTCAAATTCTCCACTACCACAACACACATTGGGAGGAGTGCCTTAAAACCAACGCTCTTTGATTATCTCCTACACAGCGGAACTACAACAGAGTGGCTGTTATCAAAAGCAATCTGTCCAAACTCATTGAATCTTAGCAACAAAATATGCACTTTATTTCCATTATATATCTTAAAATTCTGGTTTCAAACAAATTTGGACTTTATTCTTATCCCAGGTTTATTTAGACTGACATCCTTTAGGAACATTTTAAACTTGATTATAGGGTAGTCCATTAAGTTTTCAACAATATTAAAACCATATCAGTATTCTATTATACAGAGAGGGACATTTATCAAAACTGGAACAGACAGAATCTGGAGCATTTGCCATAAAATGTGATCTGATTCTCATTTAAGTCACAACAATAGACAAACACAATGAGGGGGATTTATCAAAACTGGAGCAGACAAAATCTTGGAGCAACCAATCAGCTTCTCTCTTTCATTTTCAAATCTTAACTGAACAAACTGAAGAGAGAAGCTGATTGGCTGCCATGGACACCTGCTCCAGATTTTCTCTGCTCCAGTTTTGATAAATTCCCCCTTGTATGTACTGAATAAGTCCATAATTAGCCTAGAACAATTAAACAATATATTTTACACTATATAAACATTATATTGACCTACTTTAATATATTACATGCTGCTTTACAACAGTTTACATTATCATCAGCTTCACATTTGACTCATTTTAATTTTTAATCAATTGAATATCAAATTACGTTTTCTATAGTATGATACAAGAACTGAAAATGTTCCAATTGTAAAAGAATCTAAAACTAAACCAGCTTAATGAGGAAGAGGAAAGTATTCTAAATTGATTTTTATCTTCCACACAAGTACGTTACTTTTTGAACAGTGTATTAGCATTGATGAGAGATTTTAGATACAAGCAGCTATTTTATCATTTGTTTTTTAATATGGTACGTCTTCGTACGTTTTGTAAGATTTTTTTTTTAGACAATGCCTGCTGGTCAATCCTTGCATGCAATTACATTTCGGGTTCTGTTGTCACCAAATCTATATTAGACATTTACATTTTGCTTCATTCCAAATGGTTATTCATGCCATTTTGTTAAATTCGGACATTCGGATGCATCCGAATTTCTGAACTCGAATACGCCCGAATTTTCAAATTCGAACGCGTCTGAATGAAAACGAATCCGATTGTTCCTTTAACAAAAATTTGCATTTGTCTGAATTTCATAAAATAAACAAAACTAGATCGGACATATGACTGTTCTCTGGCCAATCAGATGGTTTTTTTCGCTGTTGGGGGTTGCATTACAGGCACGGTCATGTGACTTCCTGTTTTCAATCTTTCCGAAATGAAAATAAGGACGGATATGAAATCCGCATAACGAACCAAATCAAATTTTGGGTACGATAAATTAAAGAAATAAAAATCTGAATCGACCAAACCTATATTTTTTCTGGAGATTAATAAATACATCCACAAAATCATAGATCTAGACATAGACGCTGCTATATATATTATATTGTACAGCTTTAGGCCTTAGTTCCAGTGAAATCCGTGTTGTTCATAAATACAATGACTCCACGAGATGTTGAAAGGTGATGCGAGGAATCTGGCACTGCACTGTTGCCCTTCTGTTGTCTTGTACCAGTCTTGCCACTCTCCGTTCTGCCCTAACATTGACTAGTCGCTGACGGCCACAATTCGCACGTTCAGACCCAGATTTTTGGCTGACAGCCCAGTCTTTAAACACTTTAACAATGAACCCCTCTTGAACATTTAACAAATTCTGCTGTTTTGCTGATACTTGCTCCATGGCTCTGAGCGCCAACAATCATCCCACGTTCAGAGGCTGTTAAATTGCGTTGTTTACCCATATCTTCAGAAAAAAATAACTTCTACTGTCGTGGTAAACAACCTGCTTCCCTTTATAATGGTCTGGTCCTCTAGCAACTTCAGCACAAAATTATAGCTAATTTGCCTACAAACGTCTGCCAGCTTTTTATTATATGTGGACATCTTGACCCTGTCTGCAACCAGAGCTCTGTGCTTTGTAATATACAGTCAAACCCCAATGCAGTATGTTAAAAGCTGAACTCCAGGCAGATATGAACAATGCACATTAATGCAGTTATGTATTCATGAATACATCCATAAATTTTTTTTATGCAAGCAATATAAATGCTCAGCTTAATGCAGGCCCTTATACAGCAGATAACAGACTGGGAGATGTAGAAGCAGCACAAAGAGCAAATCCACTGTGCTGCAGTACAAGGAGCATGGCGACAGGATGAGAGAGCAGAGTGACAGGACAGATAGATAAGCTTATCAGTTTTCCGCTTCTCCATTCACTGTCATAGGCTTAAGGAGGAACAAGACCTGAAGGATGTGGCAGACTGTCTAGAATAGTCCCCTATCGCTTATATTAGAAAAGAATAGAGAATTTGGCCTTTTTTCTCACTTTTTGAAGATGCATTATTAAAAGCACCCTAACAAATGGTGGTGCTAATTCATAAACTGTACACTAGAATAAGTGAATGTATTTTGCTTGTTTTATGTGGTTGGCATTACTAAATATTGAATTACTATACACTGATTGCACAAAATGTATTAACAAAAGACGGAGTTTATTGCTACTTACTGTTTAGAACAGGAACAGGACTGAATTGTGTATATAATTCCACTTCACCAATACAGTATACTAACTGGAATTATTTATCAGAACCAAAGGCAAACTATACCCATTGACATCCCAAAATAAACCATGCCATTTACTGCCAACTCAAAAGTTATTAAAAACATGTACCCATGTACATAACCCCCGCCCCATAAAAGGCCACCAATTGGGACCCATGATATGAGAGGCCATACTCAGAATTCAAAATACTCCCACTGAACTTGACAAATCTATCCTTTTATCACCTGAATTGATGTCCTTTGTTTTAGCATACCATGATGTGCCTTTACTTTATTAATATTTAGTACCACATTTTATTAGAAACTCGCCATGTATCCACAAAGAATCTCTTCCATTGACCAGAATGAACCAGATATCCAACTCACCCAGATTGCTGGCAATATTTCTACTATTTGCCTCACAAATCTTCAGTATTGACCTTGCTGCTATCTTCTACAGCCTGGCATAATAGTAATCACTGTATGAGATTGAAATCAGTCATTTGGGCAATTTACGTTGTCCCATATAGCTAGCTTTACAAGGATGGATTGTCTATAAACTAAG